ATATATATATATATATATATATATATATATATATATACACACATATATTGTAGTGTTTACTCATGTTGTAATTTGCCTACAAATTTTCAAAGAAGAGAGGTATATACAATCCAGAAAACAAATTGATCTGAAGAGGGGCGGATGGTCTTGCGACAGTTTTGCCTGATCATAAGTAGAATATTATAAATTACAATTATCCTTGACTTGATGTATTCATTGTATATTCAAGCCTTGCACTACTAAAACTATATTAAAATTGTAGTTGATCCTACAAATATCTTCCTGAATATGAGCAAGTAAATGTGTAATAAAACAGTTGACTGATACCAAAAGTCCAACTTCAACCATATATCACTAAATATGTGACTGAAATTATAAGTATTAACGCAATATGTTGCTGAATATTACATAAATCTGAAATACATTTTTATATATAAAAGAATAATTAGCTGAATAAAGAAGAAATGTATGTTCCACAGGAATTTAATTGCTGAAATTCGTATTCTGTGGATTAAGTGTTTTACACAGATTTCAACATAAAATCTAGCCCCCCAGTAGCACAGCGGTATGTCTGGGAACTTACTACGCTAGAAACCAGGTTTCAATACCCGTAGTGGGCAGAGCACAGATAGCCCATTGTGTAGCTTTGTGCTTAACTTCAAACAAACAAACAAATATAACAAAAAGTAATTGCAGTTTATTTGTATTAATCTTCTGGTTGATTGCGGAAAGACAGCGGACAGTCCTACCTATTGTTGTTTTTGTCACAAATTAATAAGTATTATTTCAATAGAAATCAAGCAGAGAACATTATATAAGCTAGAGGGCAGCGTATCGCAAAGAAAACTAAATTGATTGTCCATGTTAGTAGTTATAATTCTTTGAACACTATTGATAAAAATATGTCGGAATATGATTTCGTTTAAGTATTTAATTACATTCCCACGTTCATTTGCGATTAAGTGTATAGTTTACTTTAAAACCTTGTACTTCAGGCAGTGTTGTAGTGGTTTTTCTCTAATCGCTGGTAAAGACGTTCTGGCAAACTTGCGTTAAGCTTTACTTATTGCAGACCACACTTTCTTCGTTGTCTTATTATAAATGGCTTGTACTAAGTTGTAGGTATCTGTGGTTGTAAAAACTGGTAAACTATATTCCATACTTTGATTTTAGTTTTACACTAATGATTAATTTCCCGCAAATGAACGATACATTTCATACTTTGATTTTAGTTTTTCACTAATGATTAATTTCTGTCTAACATGCCTCTGATAAAGACGTAAGCCGAAACTTTGTACTGTAAGAAAGTTTAACCTTATTTCCTGGAGTAAGTGGTTGTTTACTTTCAATAAAATTGCAAGCTTTCCTCCTTCTTCCTTTTGTTTTTGGTCGGAACTTATTTGAGCTTACGATTGCCTCTGAACCTGAAAACAGTCGTTTTATTTGAAGAATGTAGAATATTGTACAGTTTATAATTAATATAAACCTTTGACTTTTTATCACACTTTCTAGTTTTCAGTGACGAAAATTAAACATGTTACTGAAAGTTCCTATCCTTCTCTCTTCATAATTTTTGTGAGGAAATTATAAAGTTTCAAACATTAATTACTGCTTTGAACAACAGTGAATCTTTTGTTGGGAAGACATATTTTGAGTTTGGCTAACTTGATTGTGCTAATAAATTATAATTTCAAACTTCGAGATAGTTCTCATTTATTTCTTTTATATCTATTGTCTGAAATATATAGAACTTAATACAGGTCAGCTCGATTCTGTAATACGTTTTATGTCCGTGTGTTGCTGTTAAGCTTACTCAGCAACATACTATTAGTAAGTTATTATTTGAAAAAGTAAAGCTAAAAGTGAACGGTAATCTCAAATAACCTTATCTGGTATAGATCATTCTTAGATTGATTTAGCCCTAAAACTTGTTTCTCCTCAACGTTTCGTTTTACGGTTCTTTTTCAAAAGGTTAGCCCTCTACAATTCAGTACAACTAACAGTGTATACAATTCAGATAATGTATTCCTGAGAGTCTTCATTAAAGACACCACGTTCGAACAATGAATCTTTTAAAGCATATTTATTTTGTGAGAAAAAAATTCTCAAAATCTTAAAAACAAAAAGTCGTAATGAGAAAATATTAAAATACGAATATATATATATATATATATATATTAGTAATAAGATAATTAAACAGATCACCACCTATTTCTGTTAATAAACAACTTCTTTACCTGATAAAAATATACTTCTTGGTCTTAAGTTACCGACAAAAAGCGTCAAGACACTTATTTTGTTAGAAAGACGGCCACATAAGAACGTAGTAGCTTCAAAACAATCTGATTTACCGAAGAACATCAAAATATTTGATATATTTAGGCATATGAAACTGTAACAGATCAAGCTATCGGATACGATGACGCAACGATAATATATTTAGGCATATGAAACTGGAACAGATCAAGCTATCGGACACGATGACGCAACGTAATATATTTAGGCATATGAAACTGGAACAGATCAAGCTATCGGATACGATGACGCAACAGTTCCGCAACGTTGGCCAATGTGTTTGTTCGTTTGTAGTTTGTTTGTTTTGAAGCTACACAAAGGGTTATCTGGGCTCTGCCCACCACGGGTATCGAAACCAGGTTTCTAGCGTTGTAAGTCCGCAGACACAACGCTGTGCCACTAGGGGGCTGGCTAATGTGTTTTCTAACGATGAGAAGTGAGTATGATTACTTTTACTTTTATGATTTTACTAAAATTTTGTTAAAACCTAAAGATTTCTCCACCGGAATGCTTTTCCTGTTTTTAACTATTGGCTTTACATTACACTTGTGTATTAGTATGTCAGATATTTCGGTGTTCTTCATTAAGAAAATCGCACTCTTTAATCTCTATCTTAACGGTAACACATGCCTGTGAATTTAAACTTCAGAAAAGTTGTTTTGGTTTTAATAACGAATTTTCCATACTTCAGCTACGCAGATTTCGAAAATGATATTCTTTTTTTTCTATCATGTAAGGATTTTATACAAATAGGGAAGAGAAAAAACTCTTACTTTTATCAAATATCAAATTATTATTTCGTTTACGAAAAATGAACATATTTTATTATTATCTTTGTTAACAAAAAAGACAAACAAACTGAAGAAAAGTGAAGAACATTGATGTCAAACGAATATGCATCCTCATTCATCCTGATTTTTTGTGTGAAATCTACGTCTTGTAGTCTCAAACTATGTATTGTGGTCTTTCTTTTATGTATTGCGTTATGACGTTTAGTGAAACATCTTTATGTGATGGAGAAAAATTGATCTCATTTTCAGGTTCAGCATACAGTAATTACTTTAGAACATGTAAAATTTGAATAAAACCATTTTAGGCCTGTCTTACAAAACAATAAAACCATCACAGGCCTTTGTTATCGTTCACATTACCGATAAAGTACGGTGCTATAGCACGCGTATCGTAATCGTTGCAGCACGAAGGTTTTGTCATTAGCCAAGAAACCTTTTCCAATAGGTGATCCAAAAGCGAATACAATAGGCCTAAGCTACATTATGGTCTTTTGAGAGGCTAAAAAATTCATGGGCTCTACTGTTGAAAGTCTTTTGAGTTGTTGGGTAACTTTGGGTCTAAGGTTTTATAAACATCAGCTGAAATATCATTATCAATCTCCTTAATTTTAGCTAACGGGTTGGGATCTAGGAATGTACAAGTATTACTCTCATTGATAGGTTAAAAAGTTTGACACACATAATTATCTTTGTCCGCCATCTTTATCTCGAACTTCAAGATCGTTCCCATGCTTTAATTCTTTAAATTCTTTTTTAAGGTTAAGTTAGGTTTAGTACTTCAACCCGTATGTTTACTGGTACTATCCTTAATATTTTAACTAATAACTTATACAATGATAAATATCTTGGAAAATGGTAGATGGAACTAGATATCGGAGAGCGATATCATTAGACGGGAGTTTAGCTACGTCACTATCTTTAAGAGTTATTTGATAATGTCTTTTAAGTACCCTCGGAAGAGAACTACGTTGTTTAATATTATGTTTTCGACTGTATCTATACTAATATATCTTTGGTAAAGGCCTACAGACGAAACGTTACAAATTTAAAAAGTTGAACATAATTTCCTGAAGTTAGTGGTCATTTGTTTTTAAGAAAATTACATTAAAACTCCAGTAGCGATACGATTAGTAAAATCGAAACATTAAAATTTGCATGTTATTTATAAAGTAAAGAGCTAGGCTTAAATTTGTCATTATAATACTAACGCGATATGACCAGTGAATATTAACTGTAGTTAGCTTAAAACAGTTCTTCTCGATGAAATATCTATAAGTAATGTGATTATAAAAATCAGACATTTTATTTGGCGAGTGTTGAGCTGAGAAGCAAAAAGAAAGAATAAATGCACGAAAGAAAAGTTAAAAAGAAAAATTAAACACAATAAGATTTCAACTCTGACAACTAAACCATACATTTATTTAATATTTGGTTTATCGAATGGTATCAGTGTGAACGTATATGCTTATAAAATATTATCGTAATAAAATTGTTGTTTTTACTTGTAAAAAAGAGTTGATTTTTTATCTATAAAGTACTGTTTTTGTTCTTTCGGAAGAAAGTCATCAAATCCGATATGTACTGAATGTCAAAATGTTTAAAAGTATTACAAACATAATTCTCAAATTAAAAACGTGTATTCTAAGGAATTGAAATTTTAAAACTGTTTGACATAAATGCTTATCTTTCCGATTAAATTATTATTTTTTAATTCATAAATCGATTTCTAGTGTTTAGAGAGCACAACCTTATTAAAAAACTTGTATGAGAAATTAAAACTTACAAATATAACTTACCTCAAATGGGACTGCGTCAAAGAAAATCGCCAGAAACCAATTGAGCGTGATAGTTGAGAGTTCGATGTCATTCGACGCTAGGTGGCGGTATAGGTTCGGCAGCTTCTCCCTAAGAAGATCCTTTAATACCTGTTGGTCGGCCTGCGCACCAATTAAGTTTTGGTCGAAGTAGTTGGGAGTGAAATATTTCTCGGTGATTGCAACTAAACAACTGAAATAAACGAGAATGAACTTGTGTATATATAAAAACATATGTATCGCATAGCAAATATAAAAAAATTGTAAACATTTTCAATACATTTTGTTCTTCTTCTAAACGTGATATCACTTGTACATCTTAGAAAAAGCAAGATATAGCCAATGTGTATAAAATACAACTGTGTGAACGATCGCACCACTTTAAGTAGTTTTGTGTTATGTCTCAACAAATACAGGTGAGACTTATAAATATGTTAGAAAGCAACGAAGCAAGTTATAAATAATGTTTATAATGAATTATATTTTTAGTTTCGAAATGCTTTTATGGTATAGTAATTAGCTGCAATCTTAGAAGTTGTTATGAACCAATAGATTACAACGAAATTTTGTTTGTTTATTGTTAAGCACAAAGCTACACAATGAGCTATCTGAGCTTTGTCCACCACGGGTATCGAACAATGAAACTGTTACATCAACGGTCGATAAAAGCTATGAGCATGTTATTATTTGTAATACATTTTAAATATGTTCTTGTTTCGTGTGCCTTTCTAAGATAATTGATACAATGTAACATTAAGATATGAATACTAAAAAGTCAAGTATTATTGAACTTGCCCCCCCCCCAGTGGTAAAGCGGTACGTCTGCGGACTTATATCACTAGAAACCAAGTTTCGATACCCGTGGTGGGAAGAGCACAGATAGCCCATTGTGTAGATTTGTACTTAACTACAAATTATTATATTTACTCTCACTCCTGTCAATAATATACGTACAATTTTCAAATGACTTTTTAAAATCTTAAACTGATACAATTATATTCAATCCATAAAAAAATCCATAATGGAAAAGTAAGATAAGTAAAAGTGTAGAAACTGAGTGTTAATTCAAAATAATTTATATAATTGGATATGAAAAATAACCAAACACCGTTTACTGCCATCTAGTGAACTGTTTAGTAACTTATAAAATATTTTAGACAATCGTCCTTTGCACTAAACTCATTGGCTTTTATTAGTTTCATTAGAAATTTCCTCCATATTTCAAAAACGTAAGGAAACAAGGCTGAATATAATGTAGACATTATTTGTTCAAACTACAAAACCCCTATTTTGGCTCCATGCTGTTACCTAGAATTACATTTGGAGGAGTCAAGATAGAGATTTGTATTTTAAGCATTTCCAGCGTTGTTACGATATCTAGTTACGATCCCTATTTGCAGGTTTTTAAATTCCCAATTTTTTATTTATCTTGTTTGCTGGCTTTTTTATGCTCAACTATGGGCAAAGAATTGCTTGATATGATAGCTAACGTTATACATTGTAATGATAGTAAACATAGCTAGTAGCTAGCTGATACGGTTCATGATGATTTACTGTAGCTATTGACTATTTGATCGCATTAGTTTTCGAGATGTAAAATGTTAAGCTATAGCTGGAGATTATAATGGAGATTTGTTTGAGAATATAGTGAGCATTTATAGCTTCTGTGTAACTAAATTCTCTATATATAATGTATAGCAACGGGCAAATGTGTGCCTAGACTAAGATACAACCCCACTAAGCGCGTATAAAATTAAACCAGAAGAAGAGTAGCCTTTTCAAATAAAACATACGTTTAAACACTAAAACATCGCTTTAAATAAACCTTCATGCCTTTTACAGTAATTATTCTACGAATGTGTGTAATAAAATTTAATATTATATGTATTGATTTGTTTTACTCCTTCACTTCATAAATTATATAGGAGTTGGCTTCCTAAAGACACCGATTGTATAATGTACAAAGCATTGAGTATTTACATGTTACAGTCATCTAATATTCATCTATTAATGGCTGGTAATTTCTGTTTTACCCTGTACTAAAACTTTCTAAAGGAACAACAGATCTTTGTAAGAAAGCTAACCTCAAGGGGTAATGATAACATCGTTTACACTAGAATTATGATGGTTTTTAGCTTATGTAAAGTAGAGAAGAAACATATCGACTTTCAATACACCTGCGACCTTCACACCACCTTATTTACTATTCTACAAAACGGTTGGGTACAATATTCAAAGTCGTTTTTGTTGTAGGCTGGCAAGAGACTAAAATAATAAGAATTACAAACGAGCTGTTTTGAGCGAATTTTCTTTTCTTTGTAAGTCTAGCCTGCGTGTTTTTGTTCATTTTTATACGTGTACAGCCTTAGCAGCCAATAGTAATTGTTTTAAAGTGTTGTTGGAACTGAATCTTTACTATTTATGGTACTTTTTTGCCCGATCATTGTGGTTCATGATAAAGCATTCAGTAAGAGATGTAATAAATTACTGTAATCATCAATAATTCCTAGTCAAAACAATCTAACTACATAGGTTCGAACTAAAGATTACCAAAGTCAATAATGTATCAAATTTACCATACCAGTCTAACTTGGTATGCAGTATTAAAAAACAAAAACTTAAATAATGATTAGAATGCTTTGATTCACCAATTGCGTACCCTAAATAATCGACCGTAAACTCGATAATAATTCATGAGGTTCAGCCAGGTCAGGGGATTTTATGCTATTCATAAATCTGTATAACAAAATAATCTTTATTCCCTGTCCCTTGACCATAAAACATTAATTAAAATAGAAGATAAATGACTTAACTATTTAACAATCGTAACGCGTTCACTGAAATCGGAAATGAATACTAATAGTTAAAAGTCATAATGTATTACGAATAATCATAATAGCGAAAAATCTTAATGCAGTATTTTTTAAATCAAATGTTGAAGTAATTAGTAATATTAAAATATGAGAAATTAAAAATTATTAAGTTAATTAGTAATATTAAAATATGAGAAATTAAAAATTATTAAATTAATTAGCGCTAAAGCATACTATAATAAAATTTGCTGTTTGTTCATAACTGGTTGAATAAAAACAAAGTACAAGCTAAGAGAAGCAAAAACTATTTATATTAAATTATGTTTGAACGTGAGTAATAATCACAAATACGAACGCGGAAAAAACATGTATTTCCACGCACTTGTCCTTGTACCAAACCTGTAATACTTCTCCACATTCCAGAGGAAGCTTAATCTGCGTCATTAGAGGACAAAATCAAATGACTGAAATTACTTTTGGAGAAGCTTGTCAATACATTATTATTAGCAAATGTTAGTTAAGCTAACTGTAAGAAATGTCATTTAATTCATACTTTAAAAGGCTAATATAGCATCCGGCTAAAATGGTTATAAAAATGTTCGAAAAATATACATAAAATTTGTGGAGATAATTCAGTTGAAGTTATTATATAAAGGAAACCTACTAAAAGACATTATATAAAAGGAAAATAAGCGTTCAACTTGTCGTCAGGAGACCTATACGTGGAAATTATTTTAAGTTCTAACACTTGGAAACGTTTTATGAAACTTTGGTTAAAATAACTGTTCAGATGTCGTTGAAACTCTCCATTAAAAAAAAAGTTTTAAAATTTAGGTACAGCAGTTGTAAAAAAAAATATTCTTAAAAATCTAATTTAGAATAGAATATTGCAGGTTGAAAGCACTGAACAAACAAAAACCACCATCAAAGTCCTAGAGTTTCTATCAATATCTTAAGAGAAAAACCTAATGGATTTAAAATGTTTCTTACTAGAAAGCGTCCTCTGGTTCGAGAAATAGCAAACACATGCCGACAAGAAAGTTCATCCCTTGACAGTAGCCCAGACTTGGGTTGTGTAGACAGAATGCTTGAAGGACTTGTTGCATCTTGCGGACCTACAAGTAAGAAATTTCTTACATTCCTCTGCCCCAAAAATGTAATATACTTATAGCTGGATTTTAAAAGAAATCAGGAATCTCTGATTACCATATGTTGGTCTATGTCTATAGACAAGATCACATATGTTTGTGTTATGATTAATTGTTTCAAGAAAGTTAAAAATCTGAATCGTCCGAAATAAAAATGTCACTCTTAAAGAACTATGGTTATGCTAATCTTTGATTACCATATGTTGGTTATGTCTATAGACAAGATCACTAGCATAACCATAGTTCTTTAAGAGTGACATTTTCAGATTTTTAACTTCCTTGAAACAATTAATCATAACACAAACATTTCGTCCTCCGGTGGCTCAGCGGTAAGTGTGAGGGCTTATAACGTTGAAAATTGGTTTTCGATACCTGTGGTGGGCACGGCACAGATAGCCCATCGTGTAGCTTTGTGCTTAATAACAAACCAGCTATTTGTATATGCGTTATAAAAGTAGCAGTCAATCTCATTACAAGGTTCCAGGAGCCAGACACTGCCCTTGGGGTTTAGACCAGTGGTTTGTTCAAGCCACTTTAAACACGAGAAATTGGCTGTTTAACAAAATAACTACGTCACGAGACGTTATTATTATTATTTAAAAATGGGTACCAAATCGTTCACTTTTTAATAAGTTCTAATCTAACACAGTAACATCTACTGCTTCTCCCTCTCTAATCATATAAACATAATTGGATTTATATTTCTGTATTAACTGTGGAAGTGATTTAAGTTCTTGAAAAGTTGCAAAGCAGAACGAAAAAAATGTGTTTCTACTTTTCTATGGCATTTCTAGCTGGTCAATAATATTGAATTCAAAGTTACTTTCAATTTGGAGTAATATTTTCATCTTTTCACTGTTCTTCGTTTAAGCATTGCAATAGATATATCACAGACAATTCTAAGATCCCTCCATGGGGAGGAGGGGGGTTTGGTAAGTTTATGGAGTTAGAACGCTATAATTCGGAGTTCTATTCTCCACGGTAGACACAACACAGATAGCTTTGCTCTAAAACACAAATAAACAAACACAATTCTAAGAATTTGGTTTAAGAAACTTTGGCATGAGAGTTAAACACAAAATCAATGTATGATCATGAAGAAACAAAAATCCTATGTAAAACAACAAACACGCACTGAGGCGGCAATTTTATGTTCAAAGCATGTTTTAGTTTTAGAAATATTACCTATCGTTAGTGTTTTTGTTAAAGTCCATTCGAGTCATTTTCTTCGCAATAATTCAGTGAGTTGAATACCTATTAGACGCTTAGTTGCTCGAGACGTTTTCTTTGTATTTAAATAGTATTAAAATACGTAAGGAATATATAACAAAGCTACACTTCTGGCGCATACCGAATAAACACCAGCAGAGTTATCATTTATTTTATTATAAAATCTTTTTAAACAATTCATATTCTTTTACGCTTATGGCATTAACGCTTTAACTGGACTCGAGACAAATGTTACATGAGTTTCATTAAATCTACTTGAGTTCGTCTTTAAAATTATCGATTAACTTTCCCATATTTTAAACTCATTATTAAAACGCTAGTATATTTGCATTCGTATTAATTCAGTTGTTCTTCTGGGACTGCGACAGATTAGAGAAGAACTTCAAAACAGAGGGGAGTTAATTGCGAACATTAACCGTCAGAGATTAATTTGAAGCTTTCGAAATGACGTGAAATGAATTTTCGGAAAGCTGAAATGTCTTTCACGGATGCAAGTAAGTTAGACAGAAATCGTTAATAATGCCAGTAAAACCAGTAAAAGAGAAGTGGAAAATCATGAATGGACTATCCAGACACCACTAGTTACTCAGTAAAACGATGAATTTTGTACTATACACAACTACTTCTATTCAGTTTAACAACATTTTATCTAAACGATATGATACGTGATTATAAACGTCTCGAAGCTTTTAGTGACTTTTTTCCTCTTTTTTTTTCTTTTTTTACAAAGAAATATGCAATAAAGGTCACGTATTAACACAAAGCTAATAGGTGGGCAGAATAGTTGGACCGTTTGGCTATATGTAAATTTAAGTTTAACCACAAATGTCGTTCTATCGTTTTGTCCGTATACATACCCACGTAAGTACATAATCACCAATAGATAAATAGACACCCACTCCAGAAATAATGCGATTTGATTAAACAAATAAAACAAAGTATAAAACATTACCTTTAGTATCTAATGAATCCGCCCTTTGCAATATTTAATGCAGAAACACTGTTACATTTCGATGTCCCTAGAGTAATTAAAAATATAAACCACACTTTTGAAACAAAATATCAGCACAAATAGTAGGAAACTAGTTTCGAAACTTTCTTGTGCCCTCTTCAGACCTCCACAGCCTTCGAAGAAGAAATTTGCCCACATAGCACACACGATGCCTAATTGCGAAATTCCTTCATGGTCACAGTTCAACTGGAAGTGGCCTAGTCTTTGTACTAATATTTTGTTCCAAGGGAATTTCTTTTTTTCTATAATTTAACTAACACATACGGTAGTGTGTATTTTAAACTACTGTATCTCATAGAAGTTTGTTTTTGGGGGGTTGCTCTCGCAGGGAGCGGTCAAGGATGGACCATATATTCTTGGTAAGTTTTTTTTCGCTGATTGGCCTGGTCACGAGAAAGTGGTAATACTCTGATCTTCAAGCCATAGTTTTGTGACTCAGGCTAAAGGAGCACGAAAAGTTCGTGGCATGTTTTTTTGTTTGTTTGTTTTTTAATTGTGTGATCTTTACTGAGCCAAAGATGTATTTAAAAGTCGAGCTTATTTGCCTCTGAAGTTATAAAGACCGTCGATTTGTATTCATGGGAGTTCCATTTATATATTGGTTTGTTGGTTTGTTTTAAATTTCGTGCAAAGCTACATGAGGGCTAACTGTGTTAGCCGTCCCTAACTTAGCAGTGAAAAACTTGAGGGAAGGCAGCTAGTCATCACGACCCACCGCCAACTCTTTGACTACTCTTTTGCCAACAAAAAGTGGGATTCACCGTCACGTCATAACGCCCCACGGTTGAAAGAACAAGCATGTTTGGTGGGACAGGGACTAGAACCCGCGACCCTCAGATTGCGAGCGCCCTAACCACCTTGCCATGCCAGGCCTACATATTGGTAAGCTACGTACACCGAGTGGTCACAAGTAAACAGACACCTAATTTTTCGTCATTTAACTGATTTATGCTAACTAATTTG